TGGGTAGTGATGACTAGCTGCCTTCCCTCTAGTCTTACACTGCTAAATTAGGGACGGCTAACGCAGGTAGACCTCGTGTAGCTTTGCGCGAAATTCATAACAAATCAAACCTTTTGATATAATAACATTGAGCCCTAGGAAGAAAGGAGCATCTAATATAAATTTATGAATGAAGTATAACGTGAAAATTATAAAAGAAGCGGGTCGGATGTGGCTTAGTAGTTAGAGTGAATCCGAGGGATTATGGTTCGCATCCCGTTGTCGCAAAAAAACGCGCTCCCAACTTTGGAGCTGTGAACGCTATAAGACTTAACGGTCAAATCCCACTTTTCATTTAGATAAGAACAGCCCTAGAGTTAGTGGGCGTTATTTAATAGCTACTTTACTTTATCAGTTCAAAATTAAAGTCGGCTAAGGTGTGCGCGAAATTCTGAACAAATAAAATAAAATCGTGTAATTAGACATTTTTTGTCACAAAGTATACTTATAACATGCTGATATGCCCAAAAATGATTGAAAACGTTCTTAAGAAACACGTCTGAACCTTTTTTCTATATTAAGTATTTCCAAGGTGAACACGATATGTACTTAAAGACATGTATTCGAACAGTTCATTTTACCTACTTAAAATGTGACCTTGAAAGCCGCCGTCCACATGAAGGATCTGTGAAAAATTGGTCAATTTGTGTTTGTTACAATAGTTTTGTCTCTTTGTTTAAGATATTTGGGCAAAGCTACATAAGTAGTTCCTGCACTAGCCGTCTCTAATACTGAACTGATAGACTAGAGGAAAGACAGCTAATAAACAACACCCACCGCTAACTCTTGGGCTTCTCTAATTGAATAGTGGAATGTCACTGTCATTCTTATGACGCAGTCACGGCTCTAAAGTGCGGAGCGCGATTTTGCGAAAACGTGACACGAGCCATAGAGCCTCGTATTCCTAATCCAGCATGCTAACCATTAAGCTACGCTCGACCGATTACAATAGAAATTGCGATATCTGGTAAGCGTGTATTCATGGTTATCAAACTGATAAAAATTGACAGTAGAGAAAGTAGTTCCAAGGCCAGTATGGTACCTGCAGCACCCTTGTTGTAAAATGTGATTAACCTCAAGTACCTGGTTTAATAATTTCTCTATACGGATATCTTTCATTAGAAATAGGTGCGCCTAAATCCTTCAGCCATAAATCTATCGTCTGCCGCATTGCACTTTTGAATGGTAAAGAATTCGCGTGGACGAAATAAATAGGTGCTATACATATTATTCAAAGCACAACTGCCCATATCTGCAGCGACTCGCTACTCCAGTAGCGTATGCAAACCATTACGAGAAGGTATGTTTAATCCTGTATGAAGTACATTGATTTGTTTGTTTCAGAAATTTGAGTAAAGCTACACAATACTTGCGCTAACTTGTCTTAATTCGAACTGATAAACTAGAGGGAAGGCAGCTAGTCGAGAGCACCCACTCCCAACTCTTGGGCTTCTGTAACCGAATATTGAGATTCGACTGCCACTCTTATAACGCACCTATAACTTCAAAGTGCGGAGCGCGTTTTTGCAGTAACGAGGCACGAACCATAGACCTTCAGGTTCATAGCTTGTCACATTATCAACTAGGCCACGCCCAAACCATGTACTGTTGAAATATTAATTGACGGAATGTTTCACTTGTGATATTTAATTAATTAATTGTTGTGTTTTTATAACTTCCTTTAGAAACGCACATCGCATTTATTTCCCTTTTGGCCATTTGGTGTGAAATAAATTATCATCATAATATAAATATCATACTGAATAATAATTTCTAAAATGAACGTTAAACTTTCCCCAGCTAGCAACGAAACACAAATTGTTAAATGGTATAGTATTTGATGTTTTATATTGAATATAATATAAAATAATATACCTTATGCGTACGTGCCCTAAGCGACCTCGTCAGGGACCCTGGAGTTCAGATTATACCCTATTTTTTGATCTATTATCAAGAAGGAAGACACATTCAGCGGCAATCACCTTCACAAGGGCTTTGAACCGAACAACAGGATTTACTCTCACACTTATAACACACCAATAGTTAACAGTGTGGATCATGTTCAGCGTCATCGCGACGCGAATCTAGGACCTTTAAATACGTAGCTCGGCACACTAACTATTAAGCGACGCCTGTCCCCAATTGTTAAATTACATTTCTGTACAAATTTATAACGTATCTAAAATATTACTGAAGGCTTATAGCAATTAAATTATAAAATATGAAAACTTTGAAATAACTTAGGACTGGTTTTCACTTTTTGTTTTAATATTTAATTTTCTCAGCACCTTGAGGAAACTGTATATATGTTATAAAACATAAGCACCTATACTACGTTCGCCTCGCGGTGGCTCAGTGCCAAGCTTGATGGTTTATAACGCTAAAAATCAGCGTTTGATGTCCGTGGTAGGCATAACACAGCTAGCCCATCTCATAGATGTGCGCTTAAAACAAATAAGTACAAATTATACATTATATCGCACTTGGAGTTGCGAAAAAAGTATAAAATATCATTTAAAAACTCATTCTTATTTACGTTAAAAAAACAACTTCGTAGATGTACT